CCCCAAAACCCCAAAACCCCAAAACCCCATGATGAATCATAACTATAAGGGAGTTAAACATCTTTAAATACTAATAGTTTAATAAAACGACCTAATTTTAGAAATCTCTAGAATCCCATAATTCAGGATTTATTATGATCCTCTCTATCCTAAGCAAAGCAGGATTAACTCCATTTCATTGAGCAGTGCTTGATGATTTAATAAGCTTTTTGATGACTATTCCTCTGATATAGCAAGGAAGCAAAAATTTGGCGAATTCATTTGACAGCTTACCGATGAACTCATCTTTACTTGGTCTAGTCTCGGTAACAAATACCTAGTCAAGGAAATCCTCAAAGATATCAGCCACCATAGATTCCAAAGTCTCTGGTTGGAGTGTGAACAGTATATCTCTAGAGTACTCCAAAGTCTCAGCTCTAGCCTCCTCTGGTGCAGCTAATGCAATATACGATGCTTGGAATTACTCAGTCAAGAATAAAGTGCAGAGTTGCAGTATCTTTCTGAAATGCTCTTTAAGCTCGTCATCCAAGCAGCACACATGAGGGGTCAACTCCAACTAGCACAACTCATAGAATTTTGTGGCTCTAGCTCTAGGAGTGCCTTTGCAATATAAAATGGCGAGCAGAATCAAGTATGGTACATATATCTTTTATGTAGCGAACTGCTCAGATGTTCGATCAAAGAGACTGCTGCTCATATTTGTGTGTCTCTGATCGCTACTTTGCTGCTAGCCATTGCCAGAATCGCTTCCATCAATGTAATCTCTCTTTAGAAAGTCACTTGTCAATAGACTTAGAGATAGACTTGTAGAGTTCTCTACATCTTCAAAACCTGGGCAAGTCTTGAAACACTCAACGATCTGCCAAACGTAGATATACTCATCATGATAAACCAGTTTCTTGACTCTCCTCTCAAACTCCTGAATGCTTAGGTCTCTCAAAGGGAACTAGCTTTCAAACTGCATTAGTATCTCTTGGAACTTGGTGCCACTGCCCTGATTTGAGATGTACTGGATGTATGAATCATCTCCCATTGCCCCTGTTCTAGATTTATTCAGTCTATATGTCAGCATCTTATCCTCGTACTTCTCCCGATAGTCCTCCTTGTAGGAGACATAGCTCTCACTTAACTGCTTTTTATAGTAGCCGGCTAAGGCTGAAGTGTACTTTCCAGCTTTATCCATTTTATCACGTTTGCCTGCACAAGCATTGCCCATTTTTAAAGCTATATTTATTGAAATTATATATTGCTAAATTTATGCATTTATCTATATCAAATCAATTACTCACGGGGTTTTGGGGTTTTGGGGTTTTGGGGTTTTGGGG